TAATATTTTTTTCTTTTGGGGAAAGTTTTATTTGTTTTATTTCGGCTAGAATAAAAGTAGTTATTAATTTTTTTTAAAAACATTTTTTGGGACAAAATTGTCAGCCCCTTTAAGCTAATTTTTTTTGATAGTCTACAGAACAAACCATCATTATACAATAACCTGCCTAATTACCCTAACCTGCCTAGTTACCCTAATTAACCTAGTGAAGCCTTTAAATGTCACTTTAAGCTGTATAGAAGAATTCTTTACAAGAGTAAAATTCTATATAAGAGTGTCTTGAAGAAAATTATTGGTCCCACTTTATATTAAGTGTCCATAACTACTATGTACTTACATCAAAAAATAAATACAATGTACTTACTGTGTTTATAATGTATTTGAGAACACTTGTGGTGATTTTGAGTTGGGATAGAGGTTGGGTTATAGACAGGTTTGGTGGCATGGGTAGGTTTAAGGGTGGGTTAAGGTGTAAGGGATGGTCAACAGTGTATTTACAAATGTAATTACAGAAGTTAATTACAGATGTAATTACTTACATGTATTTAATCAGGCATAGGTACACAATAAATACATGTATTTACACAATTAGTACATTGTAACAAACTATTAGTTCCTGTGTAAGTACATATTAGTTAAGGACACTTGATATAAAGTGGGACCAAATTATTTACTGTCATCACATATTTATATATATGTCAACAGTTGCTTTAGTAATATTATTATTAAGACATGACTTGTTCAAAACTCATACCTGCCACTTTATATGTTTATATATTTCACTTTCTCCTGAATGATGCATAAATCAGTAATTTAAAGCATGCATTTAATGGATGAACATGTTTTTAGTGGGTTTTCTCCGGGTGCTCTGGTTGCCCTGCACAGTCCAAACACATGCGCTATAGGGGAATTGATGAACTAAATTGACCGTAGTGTATGAGTGCATGTGTGCGTGAATGAGTGTGTATGGGTGTTTCCCAGTACTGCACTGCAGCTGGAAGGGCATCTGCTGCGTCAAACATATGCTAGAATAGTTGGCGGTTCATTCTGCTGTAGCAACCCTTGATAAATAAGGGACTAAGCTGAAGGAAAATGAATGTTTTGAGTGTTTTACTACAGTAATGCTGTGCTGTACCTTAGCGAGCAGCAGGAGTGTCCGGCTGGTGCGTGTGTCTGCATGATGATCCCTCAGCTGGAAGAGTTTGGGTGTGAGAATCGCAGGAGCAAACAGACGCAGGAAGAAGAAACCACTGATGGCCAAATACTTCGCATCCTGCAGGAGAGAGAAACGCGGAGGTGAGTGGGTTTGACAAACCACCTGTAGAAACACTATTACTCTAACACTAAATTATCTGAGCACAAACGGTTGCTTTGTGTAATCAGCACTTGTGTGTGTTGCCTTTTCTTGTTGAATCACTGAATGCCTCCAACTGTAAGTCGCTTTAAACAAACGCATCTGTTAAATGACAATGTAAATGAGAAAAACACTCATTATCATCATCAGTATCAGTCCTGATCCAATGGGGGACAGTAACCGAGTGTTGTTACTGTACTTAAAGGGCAACTATGATGAGAATCAACTTTTGTAAGCTGTTTGGACAGAACTGAATATTGGAGTATATTGAAGTCATAGACACAAAAAGTCTCTTTTTAAATTTTCCTGATGTTAAAACAGGACCCAGATCCTAGTGATTTTGAGGCCCACCACAACGTGACATAGGAGTGCAGTTTCCCCACCCACCGAATTGACTGACATGTGCCATGTCTCCCTAATAACATTTATACACGAGGCCACAGAACATTTTTTGCAAATACACCGGGATTAAAACATATGTTCCAGCTCTCTGTGATCAGCTTGAATGAGTATTTAACTTTGAATTGATTTTAATTAATGAATAAGTTAATACATTGCTTAATATAGGAATGTTCAGTGCATTTGCCTGTCTCTTTATAACTATTTTCAGAAACCACCAAACTAGGTCAGAGGTCTGGACTATTGCAACTCTCTACTAGCTGGGCTTCAAGCTAACTCTATCAAACCTCTTCAGCACATTTCTAGAACTGCTCGATCGTGCAGATTCGCACTCTATAACATCAGAAAGATCCGACCCTTCCTATCTGAACATGCAGCTCAACTCCTTGTTCAAGCTTTTGTTCTCTCCAGACTGGATTATTGCAACTCTCTGCTAGCCGGGCTACCAGCTAACTCTATCAAATCTCTTCAGCTGCTTCAGAACGCAGCAGCACGAGTGGTCTTTAATGAACCTAAACGAGCACATGTCACTCCGCTGCTCATCCGTTTGCACTGGCTGCCAGTTGCTGCTTGCATTAAATTTAAAGCTCTGATGTTTGCTCACAAAGCGACTTCTGGCTTTGCTCCTTCTTATCTGCTCTCACTTCTGCAGATTTATGTGCCCTCCAGAAACTTGCGTTCTGTGAATGAACGTCGCCTCGTGGTTCCATCCCAAAGAGGGAAGAAATCACTTTCCCGAACTCTCGCGTTTAATCTGCCCAGTTGGTGGAATGAACTCCCTAACTGCATCAGAACAGCAGAGTCACTCGCTGTCTTCAAGAAACCACTAAAAACTCAACTACTTAGTCTACACTTCACTTCCTAATCTGCACCACCACTAACTGTACTCAAAAAAAAAAAAAAACTATTATTAGCCAACAACTTCACCCTGGCACCACCTCGCACTCAATTGAGCACAATGGGAGACAGATCTTTTAGCTCTATGGCTCCTCGGCTATGGAACTCACTTCCAGTAGATCTTAGGAGCAGTGACAGTCTTCACAATTTTAAATCACGTCTAAAGACCCATCTTTTTAAGCAGGCTTTTACTTAACAATTTTTTTTTTAATCATGTTTTATTATGTTCTTTTATATTCGCTTTTGCGTTTTAACTTGTTTGGTCAATGATTGTTTTTAGTAATGTTTCATTTGTTTAGCATGTCTGCTGATGCTTATTGTAAGGCGACCTTGGGTGTCTAGAAAGGCGCCATTTACAAAGAAAATGAATTATTATAATGTTTTGCTTCTTACACTTTACACACCTGAAACTTGCCTACAGCACTTATTCATTGTTGCTTTTATAGTTGTGTAAATTGCTTCCTTGTCCTCATTTGTAAGTCGCTTTAGATAAGAGCGTCTGCTAAATGACTAAATGTAAATGTTAGACTGGTCATTCTTTGGGTTAAACTGTATACCATCCCTACAAGCCAGACAGAAGCCCTGCCCATGACGGGATTCTGCGTCTATTGTGAAGTTGATTTGACGTGCGAATGAAGCAGATTTTGATGTGCAAATGAAGCGAGTAAACTCAAAACGTTCACGTGTCTATTTAGGCTCGAATAGCGCGATTTATCTGTGTGTACCGCGTCTGGTGTGAACACAGCATGAAACCCTCTGTCGCTGATCCATCCTACAGTGTAAACACAGGAGACACTGCTAGCTGCAGAGCCACTTGAGCTCCAGCGAGGGGGAGCTTGAGCTCCTCCTGCTATAAGCTGTTTTAATGCGTACACCTAACCCCAACCCCCAATGACATCATTAGTAGAAGAACATACCTGTCAACCCTCACGTTTTTCCCAGGATTCTCCCGTATTTTACTGTTCTATCCTGCTATCATCCCGTAAAGGTATTTTCCTGTATTTCTCCCTTATTTTCAGTCTTTCTCTGAACAGTTGAGCCTCCCTATACGCAACCCATACGGCCGAACCACCAGGGGTTGCCCCTTTGCTCTAAAACGTGAGTCTTCTGTGCTTTCGCTTTGTTTAGAAATGAAAACACTTATAAATAAATACTAAAAACATCGCGATTCCATTTCCTTTTGATTACAGGTGCCGTCGCCCATCCTATACAATCCTCAAAACAGTCATATAGCGGTGCGTGACTGTCAGCTGACGCGCTCCATAGTGATAAACAGATGCTGTTTCCCAAACAGATTCTGTACACGCGATTTGAAGCGGAGAGAAAGTCTGGCTTTTGGGTGCGTGTTTAAACAGACATACACACATAATTAATAATAATAACATATAAGGATGTCGATCTTGTTGTTGTTTTTTCTCAAACACAACTAATTTCGTCTTAAATGAGCATAAAAAGTTAGGAAAGCAGTCGAATGCTTTTATTATCACGTCTGCATTTTTAAAGTGACACCTCTGTTATTTAACGTAATTAAAAAAATCTTAATAAATGAGAGATTCATTCGTTGCTCTTTAATCAGAATGTTAGGGCCCTATCATACACCCGGCGCAGTGTGGCGCAAGGCGCAGCGCAATAGTCTTTTGGTAGTTTCAGCTTGGCGCAAGAGTCATTTTGAGGCGGTGCGCTACGCTGTCTAAATAGCAAATGCATTAGCGCTCATATGTGCGCCCATAGGCGTTCTGGTCTTAAAAGCAAGGCGTTCTGAGGCGGACCGCTGGCGCGTTGCTATTTTGAGAAACTATAATAGATTTTTCATTAGACCAAAACTAACCCGGTCTAAACTCCAGCGCAGAGTTGCGCCTCGCTTACACACTGCTTAATACACACCAGAGAGCAACAGGCAAATATCTTTACATATGAAAACATTTAAATATTAAGGATATATATATATAGGATATAATAAGAATAGATATAGGATATAAATATAAAGGATTAAAATATTACAAAACATATTATTTTCTAGCCTACATAAATATAAAAAATCACTGCTTTTTTGTCTTCTTCATCTCGGGAGGCTTTTTCAGTTCATTCATAACAATTTGCTTTTGTATAATGTTATTATTATTAGCAGTATTATTTATTATATCCATATTTATATCTGTTTTATTAAAAACAAGCTTAGATTTGCCCACCTGTCAGGTTTTAGACCATATGGGGCACAGCATGTGTTTTAGGATATAACTCAGGTTTTTGAGCACACTTCCTTATTATTGTTCATTTATTCGTTTGCTGGAAATTAGAACTGAATTTAGAAATAGTTTTGAAACAAATCTTTGCACTTAACAAACACAAGTATTTATTTATAGACTAATTGATGTCTGTGCATAAAGGTTTCCCTATCCAAGAGTGAAAGTGATCCATTATCTCTCATTCTCACGCAGTAGATGCTCTGTTTAACTGTCTTCTGTTAAGAAAAACTGTGAACTGTTTGCTAGTGAAATGATAATTTTTTCCACTTAGACTTACTTTGCGTCCTGTAAATAGCGAATGCGCTCCTGGCGCGACGCAGCTGGCTCTTAAAGGGAATGGGAGATGAGACTCTGATTGGTTTATTCTCAAAACACACCTATAACTCATTAAGAGAATAAGCTCAACCCTTTTAGACCATGCGCCACGGCGCAAGGCAGATTTCCCGTCCTTAAATTAGCAAAAACGGTTCCTGACACGCCCTGAAAGCGTTTGCGCCCTGCACATGGACCATCAAAATAGAGCCCTATAAGTTATACAGTGGAGAAACGGCTAATGAGATTGATAGCTTGATTCTATTTCATTATAATAACTATTAATTTTAATAAGCTGAAGTTTGCTAATGTATTTGCTGCTAATGCATGTATTTATTTTTTCTTTTGTTAATAATAATATTAATAAAACATATTACTGACCATTTAACTGTTTATTTACAATGAAACAGCTCCAAGTGAACATATTTAGTAATTTTGGGATTTTTTTAGGGGGGGGGGGGGTGGTGTTGGGGAAATCCCTTATTATGGTGGGCATATCCCTTATTTTCACATCACAATGTTGACAGGTATGGAAGAAGTACAAGGAAGGAGGACCTAGAGCTCAAGGTCCCCCCTGCTAGAGTTCAGCTCTTCCCAAGTGGCTCTGCAGTGTGCACCACTTGAAACACAGCAGTGACGGAACACTACCCTAGATATGTGACAATGATGATGTGACAATAAAAGTGATTTGATTTGATAGTCATGCAGTGTGAAAACATCTGACTACTTTGAAAGTCATGCAGTCTAAACTCAGCATAAATGAACGCTTAAGTCTGTTTAACTGAATGTATTTTAATTACAACATCGATGCTGTAAAAGAAACTTGATGAAATAGTCACATTAACGTTTATCATTGCCTAAAAACACTCGCTGTGCATATACACAAGTGCCTAATTTGTGTACCTCCTCGTAGTTTAGTGTCCTGACCTCATTCTCCGGCTCTGGAAACTGCTCCTCCACTCGTTTATGCAGTTGTTTGAAGACGACCCTCATCACAGGAGGACACTGGGATACGGAGCTCACGATGGCCTCCATGATGCTGCTCAGATACGCCTGCAGGACAGAAACGCTGCTTTCCCGCACCTCCGCCTCCGACGCCGAGCCTTTAAAGGAGATACGCCTGCAGGCACATACAGGTACAGGTGGCCTTTTACGATTATTAAAGTAAGTACACATGAAATCAGAGGGACTTTGTTAGCTCACATTGCTAGTTGTTTGGTGAATAATAATCTGTGCATGTCGTTGAGAAAATTGAAGTTTGCGTGGGTTTTCTCTGGGTGTTCCGGTTTCCCCCACAAGTCCAGAGACATGTGGTACAGGTGAATTGGATAAGCTAAGTGTAAGAGTGTATGTGTGTGAATGAGAGTGTTTGGGTGTTTCCCAGTGATGGGTTGCGGCTGCAAGGGCATGCGATGGGCAAAACATATGCTGGATAAGTTGGCGGTTCATTCCGCTGTGGCGAATGAATGAATGCCACAGTAAGTTTATTTAATGTATTTGTGGTGGAGTTTATTCAAGCCTTTCTGCAATGATGAGTCAAACACAAATGGTGTCACAAAGTTTGCAGTACACACACAGACAATAACCATCTGAACAGACAATTAATCACATTACTGCATTTATGTGTGAGTCAATTAATCGTCAGCCATATTTCCTAATGGTGACAGCCCCTATACACACACACACACACACACACACACACACACTGTGACGCCTGCTGCGCTGTCATTTGTCTTCCGTGTCTGTCTGTGTGTCTGTTTTGCTCCCTCTACAGATGCGCTGTAACATTGCGGGGCATAATCAGGTGGATGGGGAACACCTGAGTCTAAGTGAGCGCTCCTTTATCAGCGTCCTGCCACTGTTTGGGAGGCGGATTCTTCCGGCTAAGGGTTGGGACGGAGACCAGCGGCGTGCGAGTTGGCGGGGCGTTCTTGCTTAATGTTTGATCACAGTGGGCTTAAATAAAACTTTTGTAACGTGATTTTTGGCTTCCCCCTCTTATTTTTTACTTGTTTCGCCCCGAGGGCGTAACAATTGGGGGCTCGTCCTTGTGAAGACTATTTTTTGCGTCGATCGGTTTGTTTTGGTTAGATTTTCGTTTGGTAAGTGTTTTATTTTATTATGTTTTGCTTTGATTATTAGCTTATTTTGTTAGGAGGGGGAATGTAGTAGTTGGCAGGCAATTTGTGGTCTCCGTCCTGCCCAAGTGTAATATTTGATTAAGTTCTAATCATAGTCTAATCCGTCAAAAGAAACCTAGCCAAATTGTGCAGAAATAAACTGTCCCCGGGTAGGTGAAGAACGTGTCTTCGGATACGTTATTTTTTTTATTTTAGTTTGTTGTTTTTGGCTGGCTCGGGGCTTGGTAGCATTTGTCTCGGGAGCACGGCCGAGGTTTGGGGAATTACTTGTACATTGGTGGTTCTCCCAAACTTGCGGTATATAGTGCATAAATTCCCGGTCTTGGGCCAGTTGAAGATTAGGGTCTACATTAGTGAAGAGTCGGGGAGGTTTTATTTCTGTGTGATTGGTTGCAATAACGGTGATATTATTATTATTATTATTATTGGATTGGAGTTAATTGGATTTTTTTTTCCTATGGCGAGTGTTGTGGAAACGTTTGTTCAAACTCCGTCGGAGGACTTATTAGACTTAATGACGAAGGATCAATTATTAGAATTAGCAACTCATTACGAAATTGAGCTCTCCGCACTTCAGAAGAGAACGAAGGAGGGGATAAAGCAGATTTTAAAAGCGTCGCTGTTTGATCTGAATGTGCTGGTGGAAGCACCGGCTCCGATACAACCTGGGTTTGGTGCACTTTCATTCGAGCAGCAGAAGGAGTTGTTGATGTTGCAGCGCGACACTGAGTGTGAAAAGCGGCGTTTAGATTGTGAGAAAGCTAAAATAGAACATAAGATTGAGGAGAGTCGATTGGAGCAGCAGCGCGTGCAGGTCGAGCAGAAACGACTTGATCTTCTAAAAGAGGGTAAGTTCCCTGCTGAAAGTGTTGTAGCCTCCTCTCCTAAATTGGATATTGTTAATAATTTGCGCTTGGTTCCGCCGTTTAATGAGTCTGATGTGGAAACTTTTTTTCTGTTATTTGAGAGGATTGCTGTAGCTTATAAGTGGAGTGACATTGAGCGCACCTTACTCCTTCAGTGCGTTTTGACGGGAAAGGCCCAGCAAGCGTATTCTGCTTTATCAGTTGAGGAGAGTCAAATTTACGAAAATGTGAAGTCATCTGTTTTAAAGATTTATGAGCGTGTGCCGGAAAGTTATCGCCAGCAGTTTCGTTCTTTGGGGCGTGAATCCAATCAAACGCATGTGGAATTTGTGAGAGATCTAACTTTGCGATTTAATCGTTGGCGTATGTCGGCAGAAGTGACCACCTTGGATGATCTGATAAATTTGGTTTTATTGGAGCAATTTAAAAATACGCTTCCAGATATTGTTGTCACTTACATTGCCGAGCGTAATGTTAAGACCGCGTCCCAGGCAGCAGTGCTGGCCGATGAGTGGGAACTCATTCATAAAACTCGTGCAGACGGGTTCAGAAGTGATCGCCTTTCTCCCTGCTTAAGTTCTCCATCCGTTTATTTGAACCAGGCAAGGCGTCCTAAAAGTCCATCAAATAGACACGATTTGACTTGTAACTACTGCTTAGAAGAAGGGCATTGGAAATCAAATTGTCCCGTTCTTAAATCAAAAAGTGCCAAAGCACAGCTAACTAAATCCGCCGGTTTTGTAAAGCCCGCTGCGCTTGTGGGTCCTGTACCGCTGTCCGCTCTGTCAGCTGAAACACCGGCGAATACATCAAGCGTGTTAGACCGCCAGGATATTTTTAATCCGTTTATTTCGGATGGTTTTGTGTCACTTAAAAGTGGTAATAGGATAGCAGTAAAAATTCTCCGAGATACAGGATCATCGGCTTCCTTTATTTTGGAATCTATATTGCCGTTTTCACTGGAGTCTGACACTGGTAAATCGTTGTTAATTCGTGGCATTGGATTAAATACATTATCTGTACCCTTACATAAAGTGACTCTGAATTGTGACTTAGTGCAGGGCGATGTAGAGCTTGGCGTGCGACCTGTTCTGCCCGTTGAAGGCGTGTCACTTATTCTTGGCAATAATCTGGCGGGCGGACGCGTTTGGGTTAGGGAAACGCCACCTTTGATAGTTTCTAACCCGCCTCCCTATTGTGACTGTCTGGATGAGAGTGCTCCGCAAAATCCTGATGTGTTTGTTGCTTGTGCAGTGACTCGATCTGCTAGCCGGGCGCAATCTGAAGTAAAACCTGTAAGTACTGAACATTTTTTTCCGTTAACTGATTACCCACTGGCCGTTTCTAGGGAAGAGCTCTCGAAGGAACAGCAGAGCGATGTAACTTTAAAAGCTCAGTATGAGCAAGTTTATGATGATGTTGATATTCGGAACCGGGCACAGGGTTATTTCATCAGAGATGGGGTATTATTGAGAAAATGGTCTCCACATGCTGGTTTTTGTGTGGGGGATCCTTTTGTCCAGGTGGTGGTGCCCGTTAAATGGCGGCCGGTAGTTTTAAAAACTGCCCATGATGGTCTTGCCGGTCATGCTGGCATTAAAAAGACGTATGACAGAATTCTTCGTTATTTTTACTGGCCACGAATCAAAAAAGATGTCGCCAGTTATGTTAAAACCTGTCATACATGCCAGTTGACTGGTAAGCCTAATCAGCCGTTAAAACCGGCGCCTCTGCAGCCCA